AAATCTTTGACTTCATTATTGGAAACAATAAATATTGCAGGATAATAAATATGATGTTGGAGGAGGTGATAAATTTGATAGTCTAAGTGATCTGATAGAGCATTATAAACGTAATCCAATGGTGGAAACAAGTGGAAGTGTTGTCCATTTACGGTAAGAAATATAAAGTATTATGATCTTTTATATGCATATGGTAATATAAATGTACTTTCATTTTTTTTTTTTTTTTCTTTTCTAGGCAACCTTTCAATGCTACTCGTATAAATGCCAGTGGTATTGAAAGTAGAGTAAGACAATTACATAAAGAAAATGGTTGTTCAAATGGATGGTTTTGGAATGGTGCTACAGGTAGCAATGAAGGAGGAGTAGGGCGTGGTAAAGGAAAAGCTGGGTTCTGGGAAGAATTTGAGTCATTGCAACAGTTGGAATGTCGTCATTTGTTTTCCAGGAAAGAAGGTTTACGCCCTGAAAATCGGGCAAAGAACCGATATAAAAATATTTTACCATGTAAGATTTTTCCGTTTTTAAACTCAATTGCTTTTATGTATACATTTCAATTACCAATGATTTTTCCATAGTTGATCATACAAGAGTGCGTTTGAAGGACGTTGATCCAAATATTCCTGGAGCCGACTATATTAATGCTAACTATATTAGGGTAAATTTTTTTTGTTCTTCAGTATTCATCTTATATACAAGTATTAAATCAATTTATATATAAATATTTATAGAACGAAGAAGGAGATGGACAAACTAGTGGAATTAATACAAGTGGTGATTTTGGTTCATTTAATAAATGTTATATTGCAACACAAGGTTGCCTTCCAAATACAATACAAGATTTTTGGCATATGGTATATCAAGAAAATACACGAGTTATAGTTATGACCACCAAAGAAATGGAAAGAGGAAAAGTATGTAATCTAAAAATAAATATTGAAAGTATATTTGAAAAATTGTACGTGTTTTAGAATAAATGTGCTCGGTATTGGCCAGAAGAAGGTGAAGTTACAGAATATGGGGGTGAATGGAAAGTGCGTGCTTTATCTCGTACTTCAACGACAGATTATACATTACGGGAATTTTTGTTACATGGAAATAAACCATGCTTTACGGAATCCAGAAGAATTTACCACTATCACTTTCAAGTACATAATTACTATTTACATCAGCATCCACATATAATTTAAAGAATAAAATTGATTATATTATACTAACTTTTCAGGCATGGCCTGATCATGGTGTTCCATCAGATCCCGGGTGCGTATTAAATTTTCTTCACGACGTGAATGCAAGACAAGAATCAATCGCTGCTTCTCTTGCGTCAAGTGGTCAAACTGTTCCAAGCATAGGTCCAATTCTCGTACACTGTAGCGCTGGTATTGGTAGAACTGGGACATTTATTGTTATCGATATGATTCTTGATCAAATCAAGCGTCATGGTAATTATATCTTTATTTTAATAATTATTTTGCTTAAAGCTCTTATTTTGTGTAATATGCTTATCTGTTTTATGTACATTATATTTTTAGGATTGGACTGTGAAATTGATATTCAAAGAACAATTCAAAGAGTACGTTCGCAAAGATCAGGAATGGTTCAAACAGAAGCACAATATAAGTTCGTTTATCTCGCTGTATTACATTATATTGAAACAGTATCTCAACGGATGCAAGCAGAGCAGGTAATTAGTACTTTTATGAAAACAGTTACTGAAGTTTTTATATCCATTATGTATCGATTCATTTTTATTTATTTGATCTATTATTTTTACAGAAATCTCTCCATTTAGGTCGAGAATATACTAATATTCGTTATAAAAGTGAAACAAACGCTACGGCTATGGGTGATATTCCGATCCCTACATGTACTGCGACAACTCTTTCGACATCAGCACATTTTACATTACCCACTCCTATCAATAGTTTGAGGCCAAAGTAATTAATATTAACGTCACCAAATATCGAGATTTTTGAAAAGCAAAGAAGAGGCTTTGTTACTCTTACCACATGTGGTGTTGAGCTTTTGTTATTATCATAATATACTTATTAAAAATTTAATTTGCAAATTAATTGGTTATTTCAAATATTTTTCAAAAAATGTGCTATTACAATGAATTCATATTCTTTCGTATTTAATACAATGATTATACTTATATATTGCATATACGTATGACCATAATCAATATAAAGAAATTACAATTGCACCATTTTGCAATTAAATTGGTTATTTAAAAGTAATCAGTGACATTTTAAAGTGTTGTATCATAGAAAAATAATGATATTTTTATGGCAATTTGATCGCAGTACTGAATGACAAAAAATTTTAGAATACAAAGTCTCAATAATAATTATATTAAGTATAATAGAAGTATGTAATTGCTTTCATAAAATAATTTCGCTACCTATACTGCATCAAATATTAATTAGATAACAAATTTGTCTCAATACATTTATCATCTTTCATGCCTACCTTTAAGAAACAATAGCGAATCTTCTTTAAAATTTAATTTTCTCGAATATGCAACGAATTTTTAAAAATTTCTCTAGGTTTCAGGTATAATATTATATATTGTGCCTCAAAATATATTGATATTTGCTTTTATTGTGATTATATAATTGTACAAATTTTTCTAGTAATATTTAGGACTGATTTTTATGTAGAATTTTTCTTTTAATATTTTTTCAAAGATTGCGAATAAGAAACATTTATTATTTGTAAATTTTATCATGGTACAAGGCAGAACGCGCAAAGATGTGATACATTTAGTTTCACGCATAATAAAAAATACATAGGCCTTCTATTTCCTTGAGAAGGACCCTTTTATTGCAATTGATATTTGTTACTTTTAGTATTTGTACTTAATTATATTGTAAACATTAGTATTGAAGTCCATTTATTCATTTATAAGAAAGTTTAACACCGAATATTAGCATTAAAAGAGACAGCGATGATAATTGTGAAAATTGAAATTAAAATTTGTATATTTAAACACATACTCATTTAAACATTTATATTAAACAAATTTTTATCATTTTCGCACAAACTTTTTTATTTTATCATTTTTTATCATTGTAACAAATTTCATCATATTCATTCTTAAAGTTAAGTAAGGCTACATAAGGAATAAAATTTTTGCTGCTCCAAACTTACTCTAACGCTTGTATTTTGTATGTAATTTTTATACAAACGTAGATTATACATGCTTTAATACTATTAGTGCCTATTTTATATATTTTTTGTATTCATTTATGATATTTGAATGACATTTTAACAAATACATAGCTTATCAGTGTTTAAATTAAAACTTTGCTTGTAAAGTATACATCTGAGTGAGTCCTGCCTTATAAACTGAATCGCAAATTTGATATTTTAAAAGTATTTTATTACATTATTCCGA